GTTTTCTTCATTTAATAATATTTCTTGATTTAAATTTTGAAGATTTAGATTTATTGATGAACGATATTCTAAATCATGTTTATTAAGACGTTGATAAAGATCATCTAATGATATTGATGGTAATTCATCATCTATTTGTGGATAACAATATGAATGAAAACGTTCAGATAAATCAAATAAAAAAAGATCATCATTATGTTCTAATTTTTGTTTTTTATGTGGTGTTGCCATTCGATCTAAAATATCAGAACAAAAAAAAAAAAGAAGAAGATTATTGAAATACGTCATGAAAAAATTTCAATTAGATAGACTATTGAAGTCGTAATTTATATGAGTCATGATTATTATCTTACAGAAAACAAAAGAATATAGATGATTTGTTAATGGTTTCGGATTTTGATACTGGAAAAAAAATTATTTGTTTGATGATTTTTTTCAAATTTTAAATTGATAAATAAAGATATTTTTTTTTTTTGTTTCTGAATATTAATAACAACGTGTTTGAAGAAGAGGCAGAACAGTTCGTTTATTATTATTGGAGTCATACTGTCCAATGAGATATTCATGAAAGTGTAAAAAAATTAATAGTTTTATAAGTCTTTATGTAAAAAAAAGAAATTTAAAATTTTTTTCGCTCTGTATTAATTAATTCTTTTCTATTATTGTTACTAACTATGAGCGTCATCTTTCGGAATTTGTTTCACTTGAAGATTTCAAGAAAAAAAATCTCGACCTGCAACAAAATAACACTTTCCTAATTTAAAGATGTAATTTAGTATTATAATAAAGATAAATAATAATCTATGTAAGCTTCACTAATCATTATTCTCCTTGCCATGTCCAAACGATCTTGTGTGTCGCTGAGCAAGAGTATACTTAATAAAATAGTAAAAACTTTTCTGCCAATGATGATATCTGCATTTATTTGTTCGTGCGGATTCTCTTTTTTGGGTTGTTTATTACAGACTTTGTTAATTAAGGTATTATAAATTGAGTCATTTTAAATGTAAAACTGAAGAAAAAAAAAGAAACACAAAAAGCAAGTATGACATATGAGCAAAACTAGTTTCGCATATATCATAGACATCATTTTCATAATTATGACAGATGACCGAATCTAACGGAATATTACTATCGTTAGCTTACAATAAGAGGATAGACTTTTATTGTTAATCTGTACAACTGATATAATAGTTCGTTTGTAATCATCCTTAAACACATTTGAACAAGAAGTTCAAACACGAAATTATCAAAAGTTCTCAAAATATGTCCAGATCAGATAACGTCATAGGAAGATGTTAGTCGTCTTGTTTACAGGACGATCTTTTCATTGCATTTTCGACCAGGGTATATGAATATGAGGTACGATATCAAATATCATAAAACTACTATTTATATAGTAATCATTCACAATTATTATGTTAATGAATCCTATCAAGTATTTTTCAGCTGAAATGAATGTTACGCATGTAGCATTGATGAATCCTAGAACATCTGAAGGCAGATGCGGATTAAATTTTCCAAGAAAAATCTATCGAAAAAAGTACAAAATCAAATTCAAAGAGAAGTACGACCGCATCACCTCCTTCTCCGAATCGTCATTGACATATAGTACATACTTTCATTATAGCAAATCGATTGTTAACCGCTGAAACTTCTTTGTAAAATTAAAAATGAATGTATTCTCTTTCATGATCAACGCCATCTATATTAGTTCAAACAAAAAATGATAGTAAATTTTCAACTATTTATCATGACGAATAAGATTCGTTAAACAAATAAAATAAAATTTTAATTCTAAATTATTTAAAATAAGATTTTTAATTTAAACATTTTTCTTTTAGTTTTTTAATTTTCAATTAAAACAATAAAATTAGAAAAGAAATATTTCATTTTCATGTTATCTTCACAAATTGAACATTTAGTTAAAAAAGGTTTACAAAGTGGTTTTTTAAAATCTCTTACATCAACTTCAATAAACTATAATAAATATCCATTAATATTTGATTATGGACCATTTACTTCTAATCTTTTCTATTATTTTCGTCA